AACTTACTATAAATTTGAATCCTATGCCACACTAGAATTAGGGGAGCGATATTCAAAAACGTTTGCATCTAGCACAAAACTCGCAGCTAGTTATATGTTGATAGCGGTAACAATTGCCAGATTAATAGCTGCCGTTTCCGTTATACTCCTACATATCAACGTATGCTGGATTAACCCTGATAACTGGCCAATTTTTACGCTGTCTATTATATGGTGCTTTCTTATGACCCTGGCGATACGTATACTATCGGCGGTTTTGGTGGTGGGTTATTTCTATGTATTTATAATTTCAAAATATATACAATTAAGGTACCGAGAGATTAACGATAACATGGACATCTTACTAAAGAAATGTATGTAGCTCATTTGGTAATAATAGTTAAATAATATACTTTTTTAAATTAGATCACATAAAACAAGGTGATAAAACACTTACAAAGTTGGTTAATAAATTATACGAGCGTCGACTTTACTCATACTTGCACATCCACAACAATTGCACCAGGTTAATCATACAAATTAATGCATGGCTTAGATACCTAGCGTGCGCTTATTACTACCTAATCGTGCCGTTCATTGATTTGTGTGTTATAGCCATAACGGATGAACAGAATATTTATTATAAAATTATAACGAGTTTATTGGCGTCTATAGTCATCATAAACGCATTTTATGTGAATTACATGCTGTCCCTAATAGCCCGTTCCGCTCACTATTCCTATCCATTGCTCAACACTTGTATCGCCCGACAAAGTCCGCAAAACGTGTTGAGTTTACGGTTGAGATTTAAAGTACTGGCGCTCATTGAACGCCTGTCCGGACCAGTCATTGGTATCTATTGTATGGATTGGTTTGCTTTCACTAATTACGAGTTTTACATATTTTGCGCCAATTGTGTGAAAAATTTTATTTTATTTTCCGATTTATTCAAATAAAATAATTGTATAATTGTACATATTTAATTGTTTATATATTGATCTGATTAGTTAATTGTACCGGTACTTATGTGCCATACTATCATTAATAATGATTCTTAAATGTTCATAATTATCTTTATTATAATATCAATAATACTAATATGAAATAATAATTATTATATTAATACACTTGATAAGAAAATAAATGTACCATTATCATAATGTTGAAATAACTTATTTCTCAAGAAATTATAATATTATTATATCTACTGTATATTTTAGAAAAATAATAGTCATTAAAATCATAAATGTATTTTCGAATATTATTCGAAATATTAAATTATTTATTTGACAGGATTCATTTATACAATATTAAGACTAAAAATTATCATTGCATATTATTGTCATTGTATTGCTAATAAATCATGAGACAATTAATTCTACCGTTACTTTATAGACCAAACCATTTTTGTGACAATAAATTGCTAGTTTATTTTATAACAGAAAATCAATGATGGTTTATTAAAGAGATCTTAAGCAATAAAATGAGAAGCATATTTTAATAAACTTAATTTTTTTCTACAAGTTATTCATATGAAGTATATTGTAAGATATAAATACTACAAAATATATTTTGTTTAAATAAAAACCAAAATCTATGTTTAAAATCAGCATGTGAATAATTTTATATCTTAATTACTAAATCAAGGTATTATTTTAAATATTCTAAATAAATCTATTTATATTTATAATTAATAATTTAAAATATTACATAATATTATAAACAAACGATAATTTATGCACTTAAACAATTACATTTATTCAATTAATTCTGTTTTATATATTTACTCAGGTAAATTTTATTTATTTATATATTTATACTGTATCATATAGAAATATAAACTAGATTGAAAATTTTTAATTGTTATATAGTTTATAACTCGAAGAAATTTGTGTAAATAGTTACTTAACTAATAATGTTATAAGCAACTAGTTAAATATAAATCAGTTAGCCAGCACATATTTATGCCAGAAGTGGTTGCACTCGTATTTGAATCCCACGCCAAACGGACTGTCACTGAAGTAACGGCGCGTGAACTCGAAGTACGGGTTTATAATGTCTTTCTTATTAGTCTCGTAATACGGCTGCCATTCAATGCTCTCCTGTTTGCCCGGATTACTGGACATTAAAAAATATACATTAAATATATTGATAAAAATTATGAGCATGATCATTAAGTATTAATTAAAATTATTATTTGGTATTATTTAAAAATTTAAATGAGTTTTTTGGTAATCCATATTTTAAAATACTTATTAATGTTCTAATTATAGTATTTAACTTATTTTTTAAATCTACAGTTTGCTTGCATATTTCAAATTATAAAAATGTACAAAACTGATCCATCTCATACGCACCCATATCTCGCAAAGTTGGCCACCGTTTCCATAGCACTGAGTGATACGCGCCGTTCGTTCAACAGTTGACTATCACTAGCGTTGGACACATAAGTGTCCCTAAAAGGGGCGCCAAATATGAACCCTATGTCCAACCCATGGTCCGACCCGTGCCA